CTGTGTTGTATGTATGTATCACATTTTCTTTATCCAACCCTGTGTCAATAGATACCTGGGTTGCTTATAGTTTTTGCGATTGTGAATCATGCCGCAATGAACACTGGCACATAAATATTTGAGTTTCTGCTTTAAATTCTCTTAGGCATATTCTTACAGTATAATTACTGGGTCATGCTAATCCCACTTTTTAAAAAATAATTTGAGTGTTTTCCCAATGAGTCTGAGAATGAGAAGCAGAAAACTAGATGTAGTATCATATTAGAACTTCCTATTTTCCCACATCTATTGACTACCTCTGCTGTGCTTAAAGCTGTGTCTGAAAGGATGTGGGACCTTATGCATCCTTTTTTTTTGTTGGGCATAGGGCTTGAACTCTGGGCTTGGGTGCTATCTCTGGGCTCTTGAGCTCAAGCCAAGTGCTCTATTGCTTGAGCCACAACACCACTTCCAGTTTTCTAATGGTTAATTGAAGATAAGAGTGTCATGGACTTTCCTGTCTGGGCTGGCTTTGAACTGTGATCCTCAGATCTTCAGCATCCTGAGTAGCTAGGATTACAGGCGTGAGCTTAATGCATCCTAATATAGGACTGCTATGGAGGGGAGGGCTTTTTGGGGGTCTTTCTTTCTTTCTTTCTTTCTCTTTATTCCTGTGGAATGTCCAGGACCTAGGAGAGAATCTGGCATTCATCTATTCCTTTGTTCAGCAAATCGTTATTAAGTACCTAGTATGTACCAGGTATAAAATGATTATTGAAAGTGATTAAGAAAATCAGGTAGGAAACTAATGTTTTCTGTCTGCTTGGCTAATGAGCAGAGTTGATGAAAGGAGGCCATGGAGGTGTTTTCCAATCACTTTGTGCCCTGGGAGCTAAACACCCGTGACCCCTTTACTTGTGGGGGGGGCTGGGGGGGCAGAGGTGAAGTTGGGGCTGGGAGAGATTGGTTTAGCAACAAGAGAAGATCAATAGAGGCAGAATTTTTACCAAGGGATTCTTGGTGGAGAGCTGTCTATTCATTAATATTGAAGCTATTTTTAATTATGAGGAGGGTAGAAAGTACTGATTACCCAATGTAACTGCTTAACAGGATACAATCAGATCTTGCCTGAGAAGATTTTTTTTTTGCTTTTTCACTTTTGCCTACAATGTGAATGAGAAGGTGAGGAGTCGCTTATTCCCCAAGCAATCCCCATGAATTAGGGGACTCATAAAATGAACCTAAATGGGACCCAGAACACAGTCGATTCCACTGAATTCAACAAGGTGACAGTTACACCATATTCTCCGAGCTCTCTGAGCGTCACAGAATCGTGCATTTATTTAGGAATGCCATTTAAAGTCTCCTCTTTTCGACTAATAGGGCATGTGCTATTGGAGAAATGTGTCAGCTTAAAGAGTTGGGAGGGAATTATCTAGGGTTCATTCCAGCGAAGCCTTCAAGGACCCATGTGCCTTGCCTTTGGAGAACTGAGACATTTCCCCTGTCTGTATTTTAACTTTAAGATCAGCAACACCTATCCCATTTTTCCAGATCCTTTTCACCTTCAGATTTTAGCCTGTGTGGCTGGATCTAATATCTCCAATTATGCCCTGGCTGTCATCCCCGAGTTGAAAACAAAGAAATAACAAAGTCACAAATATGGTGAACAGTTATACACCCGTCACTAAGTTTGTGTAATCAATGTCCTTGCTTCTTTTCCTTGAAGGTACCCAGAAGCCCCAGAGGTTTCCTGTTCTCTTTTATCTGTGAGGGTGGCACTCCTTATTGCTTATAGGATAAGGCTACACTAATTAGCCTAGCATTCAAGGCCCTCTATAAGCAGACTAAGGTCTACCGCTCCATTATTATCTCCCACTCGTTTTCCAGTCTACACAAACTGTCTGCTCCTGTCAAATGGTCTCCTAATTGTTCCCCCCACCCACCCAAACTATTTTCATTCCTGTTTCCTGGTCTTTGTTCGCATTAATTTCCTCAGGCTCTCTGTCCTTTCTTCAGAGCTTGGGAGTCTTACCTTTTGTGACCACCCCTGGCCCTTGGTGCAGAATTGCTCCCTCCTTGGAATTTCAATAATCCCTCCATTCTGCAACCACTTCTCTGGGTTTGACACATGGGGGTACGCGTATGTGCCTAAAAGACAAGCACTCCAACACTCTCTCTAGGGCTCACGCAGGGCCATGCACTCAGTAGGTACTCAGCAAACATTTCTTTTTAATGATGTCATGTTCTTGAAGCTTCTTCTTTCTTTCCCTAGATATGTTTACTAAAGTGTATGAAGTGTTGCTGAGACTTGCTCATGGTTTTCAAAAGATGAGGATGGAAATGACTCAGTGGTAAGATCTTTTGGCATCTTGAAAATACTTGTGCTATCCTAGCAACACACGTATAACAGAGAACAGGGGAAGTCACCAGAACAGTCTTAAGATTAAAGCTGGAAAGAATTTAGGGTTTCAACAAGTAGGGTTCTTTCTTTCTTTCTCTCTTCCTTTCCCTCCCTCCCTTCCTCCCTCCCTCCCTCCCTCCCTCCCTTCCTTCCTTCCTTCCTTCCTTCCTTCCTTCCTTCCTTCCGTCCCTCCCTCCCTCCCTTCCTTTCCTCCTTTCCTCCTTCCCTTCTCTTCTCTTCTCTTCTCTTTCTTTCTTTCTTTCTTCTCTCTTTCTTTCTTCCTGTTGTTTCTCTCTGTGTGTCTCTGTGTCTCTCCCTCTCTCCTTTCCTCTGTCTGTGCTTTTTTCTTTCTCCTGTCAAGGTGATTAAAACAGTGCAATCAGCTACAAGAGGGAGATTATTGAAGAATTTTAGAAATGTAGACAATTTATTCATTCATTCCCAGGAAAACAGAGGTAAAGGAAAGGAAAGGGGGGAAAGTTTCAGTATGACAGGGATTTGGCATTGATCCATAGAAAACAGAGGAAGATGGATAAAAAAATTTCTCCTTTCCCTTCCCTTCCCTTCCCTTCCTTTCCCTTTTCCCTTCCCTTCCCTTCTCTTCCCTTCCCTTCCCTTCCTTTCCCTTCCCTTTTCCCTTCCCTTCCCTTCCCTTCCCTTCCCTTTTCCCTTCCCTTCCCTTCCCTTCCCTTCCCTTCCCTTCCCTTCCCTTCCCTTCCCTTCCCTTCCCTTCCCTTCCCTCTTTCCTTTCCTTTCCTTTCCTTTTCTTTCTTGTTTTCTTCACTTTGTGGTCTCCTGGCTCTGTATGGCCTCCCTAGCAGAAGAGCCTTGTGGTGGGTGGGGCTCCTTCACTGTGTTGTAGAGCCATGAGACAGGCCAATAAAAGAAAAAACAAGACTGCAGATGTTTTTCTCCATGAGGAAGGGATTGGAACAGTTACTGAGTAACTGTTTTTCAGTTAATATGGATATATCTTCAGTTGCAAAAGACACAAACAGGCTGACAGCTTTAGCTCTCATACACTATATCCGTAGAAACGCTGGGGTGAGAGGTACGGAGGGACCTATTATCCAAGCGGTTGTAGGGAAAGGCTAGACTCATGCAAGTAGAAGGACAAAAGGCAAAAGAACAAAAAGAAGTAGTAGAAAAGTCACTGCAGAGAAAACTAATACAAAACCCAAGATGTGAGAGGGACACACAGGAAGTAGACACGGACATTTGTCTGTGATTAGATTCTTGAAGAAAAAGTATAGATAAAGTGACCTAAAATAATCCAGTCCCAGAGACAAATAATCTCATATTGCCCATTTATAAAATAATTTCAGGAGTTGAGCTCGATAGTGTGTGTCAATAGTTCCAGCTACAGAGGAGGCTGAGGCAGGAAGATCACTTGATGTCAGCAGTTCAAGATAAGCATGGACAATAGAGTAAGTCCCTATCTCTAACCAAGTGTTCAATGTTAAAAATAGTTTAAAATAAGTTGAGACATTTAACACTAAGAATTTGTATTTTTACTGAGTGCTTCTGACTTTTTCTATTATGCCGATATTGCAACATATGAAACTCAGAATCTGGGCTCTGTCTCTTAGCTTTTTCATTTAAGGTTGGTGTTTTATCACTTGGGCCACAGCTCTCCTTCTGGCTTTTTGGAGGGTAGAGATAAGAGTCTCACAGACTTTCCTGCCTGGGCTGGCTTTGAACTATGATCCTCAGATCTCAGCCTTCTGAGTAGCTAGGAATATAGGTGTGCCTGGCCTCTGGTGACTTTTTTTTTATAAGTTTTTTTTATTGTGAAAATACTATACAGAGGGGTTACAGTTACATGAGCAAGGAAATGAGTACATTTCTTATCAAGCATTTTTGCCTCCTCCTTTCTTTTTCCCCTGCCATCCCTCTTAACATAGGTGCAGAAATAGCACCAAATGGTTTTGCTTCATGCAAAGGAAAGAAGAGGGGAAATTAACGATCAAAAATTTGAATGGAGAATGAATAGTTACGTTTACTTTAATTACATTTGCCTCAAATCATATAAGATAGCATAGTTTGAAGGTGAATAAGTAAAATACATTGAGTGTCGATTGCCATCTTGGAGCTGTGTTTTTTCACATGTTTAACACTGAAAAATCTCATGAGTTAGGAACTGTGGTTATTAGAATCATTTTTTTGTCAGTTGTGGGGGCTGAACTCTGGGCCTGGGCGCTGTCCCTCAGCTCTTCAGCTCAAGGCTAGCGATCTACCACTTGAGCCATAGCACCACTTCCGGCTTTTTCTGCTTATGTGGTGCTGAGGAATTGAACCCAGGGCCTCATGCATGGGAGGCAAGCACTCTACCACTGAGCCAACTTCCCAGCCCTATTAGTACCGTTTTTACAGATAAGGAAACTGAGATTCCCAAAGGTTAAGGTAAGAAGGTAGAGAGCAGGATCCAAGTGTAAGCCTGTGCACTGGTTTCACTGGACTGCTTACAAGCAGGGACCAAAACAAAGAAGCAAACCTAGAAACAACAATGAAAACAAAGGCACACTAAGGGAAGAAGTTTAGATGAAGGGAGAATAAAGAAAGGAAATTAGTAAAGGGGGATGGAGGTCCTGTGCATTGACTAGAAGTGGACCCCACTGATTGCTTCAGCAACACATACACTAAAATTAAAAAGATACACAAAGGACTGGTATGGCCTCTGCTAGGATGACATGCAAATTCAGGGAGCATTCCTTATTTTTTTATTATGTGAAATCCACTTTGTGAATGTATGTTTTCATATATTCAGGAAGTGGGGGACTGGGAATGTAGCTTAGTGTCAGAATCCTTGCCTAGCATGCAAGAGGCCCTGGGCTATATCCCCAACACTTATAAGAACTTGAAAAATGCCTAAGCCACGTATTTGACTGAGCTTTCCAACAGCCAAAGCATAAAAGGAAATGTGTCTGGATTCAGAGTGTCTGTAAGATAAAAGCAAATCTCCTTTTTAAAAAGAAGCAACATCATCACTTCGGATAGCATTTCTCTTGTAGATTCTCCTAAGCAAGAGAAATTCTTGTATTGTTGAAAAATTTTTGTTTTTCCAAAGGCTTTACTGTTTATTAATTCTTTTTCTTTTCAATTAAGGAAAGCAAATGTTTCAAGGAGGAAATAACTGAAATAATGGGTTCTGATATTATTTCCCTTGTAAATATGTTTTAGAATTTTCGTGTGTGTGTGTGTGTGTGTGTGTGTGTGTGTGTGTGTGTGTGTGTGTGTTAACAAGAAAATAACGAGATGTGGAGTTTCTGTCTTTGAGGGATGTTAAAGAAAAGAGGGGCTATTCCTCCGGGTCAGATGCCTGAAGGCAAGAACAGGCTTAGGGGCTCCTTACAACTCCTGGACTGCCATTCTATACTTCTGTAGCTGTGCAAACACTACCTGGACCAGCTTAACTAGTCTTAAACCTAAAGACACAGCCATAGCCTGAGCCATGAATACCTCCATTGTGGGAATCCTTTCTGATAAAATAAATGTTTGAAAAACACACATACGTACAATAAAACAAAACCCCCAAAACTTGGGATTAAGACACACCCAAGTAAGACATTCGGCAGAAACAAAAAGTTGCACTTAGTAAATGCTTGTCACTGGGGATGGAGAGTCAGCACTTAGACCCACTCATTTAACTAGGCATCTTTGCTGAAGTCCTTTGTGTCTTAGATGTCAAAGAAATCTTTTCTAAGGGAACCATCAGCACCACCTCAGGGGTGATGTTTTAAGCCTAATGTGAAAAAGAGAGCTTCCCTAAAACTTCTGACGTGATTAACTGATTAACATGGCTGAATGGCCATTATGACAAAGCTCAGGGAGTGCAAATAAAATTCTCTTCACCAGGCGATCTCCTGAATCTTTTTTTTTTTGTCTGAAAGAACTTTCACATTTTAGGGGTGAGGCTGGAGGGGTGGGGGAACTAGGGGAGACATAGTTGTGCAGTTTAAATGGATCCAACTTGTTATGGATTGGTTTAAGTGGCTAGAGGAAGCTTCCTGGCTGTGTGCTTAAAAAGAAAGCATGAAATTAACTTTGTTGTGTGCTGTGTTAGGAAATGTTAGGTGAGCACAGCGAATATAGGCACCTTTCTGTTTTGTTTTGTTTTGCAAGTTAGAGCTTGAATCTGTGGCCTTTGGGCTGCTTTAGCATGTTGGGGGGTGGGGGGGAAAGGCACATTAGGTTACTCTAAGAAAGGACGGAGACGTTTGTCTCTTCAAAGCCAGGCATGCTTATGCCCCTGTCAACTGAAAAGCTTCAGTCTTACTACGGAAGTTCTCACCCTTGAAGCCCTTGATGGACTGCTGCTCTAACAGGTTTTTCCCTTTATAAACAGAGTCCAGCCGCTTTGGCCTTATCTACTTGATTCTAAAATAGCTCGTCAATTTAATAGCATTCAGGTTGTTTATGCACACACAAGGCCCTTTGAAAATAACCCTTTTCATGTCGCCAAACAGGCATTTTGAAATCAACTAATTGGATGGTTGTCTGAATTCAACTCGTTGTTTTAAAAATAACCAGTTGTTCCACTGAATTACATTTTTTTTTACCCCCAAGCCAATTGGTGTGTGTAGACAGAGTTTGAGTCAATCCAGATGGCTGGCTGCATTTTTTGACTTGAACTGACTAGATGTTTTGTGGTCAGATATATACAGCTTTTGATAGCCACTGGGGAAATGGAGTGGAAGGGAAGGAAGGTGTAGGAAAGTTAGGAGAAATTATATCAACAAAAGTTTTCCATCTCGAGTGCTTTGGACCCAGACGTTTTTCTGCAATCAATCCTCCCTCCCCCTCAACACACACGCACGCTTGCACACGCACGCACACACACACATAGTTAAGAAAACAGAAATAAAGTAATAACATCCCTCCCAGCTGGCTCTGCTCACGGCTGTGGGTCTTTTCTTTCTTTCTCTCCATGAATTTCTTCACTGCTTGGGTGGCCTGTGGAGCGATTCTGGCAACTGAGCTTCATGGGTTTAGCTCCCTCTTAGGCTAACTTTTCCTTCCTGTGGGGAGCTTTCCTTTGAGGGGCTCTGTGTTCCTCACAGAGCAAGGCAGGAAGAAAAGGGCTTTGGTCAGAGCCGTACCCCCTAATTCCAAGCATGAGGCCTGACTTTGACCCATGGAACCACTTTTCCTAAGGGAAGCTGGGAATTTCCTGTAATGAAATTGACCAGTTTTCTCTACTGAGGCATTACCAAAGCTAGGTTTTTAAAAAAAAAAAAAAATTGGTGTTTTCTGTCATCTGTTGTTCCTATAATTAGCTGTCAGATTCCACTGGCCTGAGGAAGAGCAATTCAGACCCTTTCAAAGGCTACCTCTTTAGGATTTATCATTTTGATTTCTTCATTTACCTCACTGATCACAAGATGAAAATAGAACACAGACAGACTCCCTCCCCCCCCTCAAAAAAAACTACTTACACTCAACATTTGTACTTATGAGGAAGAAAAAAAATTCTCTAAACATTTGAAACCAAACTGCAAGGGTGATTGCCAAAATGTCTGCCATGTGTTTTAACTCCCACAATTTCTGAGTGAATTGTGGGACCCAAACTCATTTTCCTCTGTCCACATTTTACCTTCTCTATCTGCAGAGGTCATTGTTTCAGTGAAGTAAAGAGGCACAAAGAAAATGCTGAAACCTGGCCCTGTCTCTGTTGTCCCCAACTTTTCCCTCTCATCTAGTAAATTCCAAATTGGCATGTTTTTCATAACATGTCATTTTTCATGCCTGGCTGTTGAAGGTGAGTATTGATTCCCTTGAGCCTTCCAGAGACATCTGGATAACATTGCAAACTTGTTGTCTATGACATTTAGGATTTAAAGCACTGCCACATGGCTTGTTGGGATTTTTTTTTTTTTAGACGTGAGGCATGTTTTTGTCTTCATTGTTGCCATACTATGTGATCTTAGGTTCTCTTGAATCTCAAGAAATTTTTTTTTCATCAATGGGATTGGCAGGAATAACTACTTGCTTGCTTGGACTACCACATAGGGTTGTTGGGAAAAAAATAAAGAGCTTTATAAGGAAACTCTTCATGAGGGGTATGAAGCCTTAAACAAATATGAGACTCTCAAAGGAGGCAATTTTAACTGTGATTATTAAGCAGTGTTGGAAGCTCAGCCCATCCTTGTCAGATCAAAAGGTTTGTTTCAGGTCCTCAAAGTGCACTGTGTGTTATCATTACTTTAATTCCTGATTTGTGTTGTTGTTGTTGATTAAATACTCACAAGGAGTAAATTCTACAGAAATGTAATGAACAAATATACTGACTCCATTTTGAGAAGCAATATTGATACGGTATTAGTACAAGGAAAGGACAACTTTGGGGGGACTGAAACTTTTTTAATACTAAGGATGCCATAAATGGGTTAAAGTGTATCAGTGTTATTTTAAGTTCTCTTGCTAGCAAAACTGAAGTGAGAAACTGAGATCTCAGTGCATCTCAGAATCATGACTGATTCACAGGTGGATCCAATACCTTGCATATAAGTATATTCTGTCTTAGGAGAGTAACACAAAGGCACAATGCCTATGTGCATCTGATCATATGAAATAATATGAACAAAATAAGGCTATTCCACTGAACTTGTCATCTGAAGGTCAGGAACTGAACTGTGAAAATATACAAAAGTACAATAGGCAATTCCATCCTCCATTCTTTGATCTTTCTCTTTAATTGACTCTGAGTTTCCCATCCTTGAGTGGTATATGGGTATTTGATAAACCCCAGATGGTTTAGAAGTACAGGGAATCCTGCTTTATATTATCATCTTGTCTGCCTTGCTTGCATCTGATTAAATGACCTTTTGCCATGCGAAGAGTTACATTGAGAAAGATGAACTTTCCCTTCCATATGGGCAATAAATGTTTTCCCTCTACATAGAGTACCAGCCGAGAAACTGGCATTATTTCTAGTTGTGAAGAAATCATTGGCCTTTTTCTGTGCAGAAGAGTTGCTGTACTGCCTAGCATTGAGGAGCTACAGAAAAGGAAAGTAAATATGACATGATATTTCCATAAGGCAGGAAATTAGAAATGGTATCAGTATATGTGAGTAGGACTACGAAGTTTAAGACTGCTCAAGTTTGAAAAGTTTTTTTTTTTGTTGTTGTTCAGAAGTGAATTTGAGCTCCTGGAGTTACATCCAGGAAATATGAGCCATTACTAAAGCTGGGAATTGAGGGGAAGGCCAAAAATAAGGTCTGGAAATGTAATTGTAATTGGGGAGGCCAACCAACAGAGGTTAAGCCCTGGGAAATGGGAAGGCAAATCAGTGTCTGAGAATTCCTGGGTCTGTGGCAGGTCTCTTGCTTGGCCCAGGCAGTCACTGAATACAGTTCAGCCCTTCACATGAGTTTGTTTTAAGGGGAGGCTGGAGGAAGAATGAATCTGTGCCAAGACCTGGTAAGTATGGCCCCTTCCAATTTACAAAGCTGAAAACCCTTGAGAATTTGACACTCCTCAAAGCTTCCATCCTGACAGACCTAATGTTCAACACACTACTGAAAACGCAAGGTCTCAGTTGGGCCTGATTATTGTGGTAGTTGGAAACACACCTGGCTAAGGACCTGGAGGACAAGAATTTGGCCCTCACCCCTATAGATGACCAGTGCTTATTAATACTGTGACTGCTCAAAAACTCTGGGTAATGCAGGGATAATAAATAAATAGGAGAATAAAGTAGTATTTCTTTTTTTTTTTG